AAAATCTACTTGCCCCCAGGAAAAACAGGTTGCCCGATCTTAATGTGAAGATTTTTAATAATCAAAGCAAAAATTATGGGTAAAAATAAGATTTGTTGCAGATCCTTTCAACTTATGCCTCAGATAGTAAAATAGTCCTATTAAATTCCCTACTGTATATGTTTTTTGCTAATTCACAATAGTCTAGGGGTCGACACAACTTTGCCAGGGATCCAATAGAAATCCCTGAGATTTAATTTAGAAAAACTCCTAAATGTCGGGGATTCCTCACATCAAAATAGTAAAATGAAAGTGAAGATTAACAATAGTCATGGTCTGTTGAGGCTTATAAAAATTACAGGTAATAATTAGGCCCTATTCCAGGTGCCTTTAAAATATATTAACATTCAGATGCTATCACCTTATTACAACTTTAAAAAGGAAACAGTACATCGATTGTTGAAAATTGTGATAGGATTTAAATGTTTATTGTTGATTTCAAACAATGTAAAATATCAAAAATATGTTTGCTTTGTTTGCATTACCAAACTAGTTATGTACCTTTCAAATTTATTTCATTTTTAAAAACAACAAGTTGCTCCAAGTCCATGACGGGATGTGTTATACTCAATTTAAATTGATCTGTCTGATTCCTATCCTCCCTGCTTGTATTGAAATTTATTTGAAGTTTTAACATCTGTCACATCAAAGGGACTCACCGCATGCAGTAATCATACAGTTCAGAGCACTGACTGGTTCAAAGAACTGTCAGACGAAATATACGTCATTTGCTGTATGTTTCACCTAAGGAGATTTTTTCTGTTTTGGTCGTAAATTAGGCATGACCTAGAATGACCACAGATAACTTATAGTTACACAATATGCTGTGATTTACCAAAAAGGATTTTAAACATTTTATGGATTATTTTATTCTGTTTATTAATAGATCTAGAATATTTTTAAACATTGCTGTAGGGGAGAAAGGAAAATAAATTAACAACAGTTCAAGACTATTATGATTTTTCGTCAAGATTTGTGTAAAAATGATTACTGGTGACGAATTTTAAAAAAATTCTATAGGCCTATTGCAAATGAGTTGACGCCAGTTAGTTAAATTCTGACCGTATGAAGAAAACAATAGCGTACAGGATTCAAAGGAGTAGATTTTTACGGCCCGATTTTTCTGTTCTTTCTTGAACCTTGCAGTTGTGTCAGTCTTTATTGACATAACTCATCTTGAATTTTTGTGATTTTATGCTTTTTATTCAGAAAATCAGATAATTTCTTTGCCGTGGCTTTTTCTTTAATCGCGGCAGACTTTTTTCTTTTAAAAATGGGAAAACTTTTGGCGCCGCCCACCATTTTGAAAGGAAAGCAAAATGGAAAAAGTTTTTTTTACGTAATTTGATTGGTTGATAGGGAGTCCAACTACAATCAGAAACAGTTAAAATACACTAGTCTTGTTTGACTGTAATATGAACGGAAAGAAAAGTATTATCGGCAAAGGATATCAAAGCTAATAGAAGGCATAACGAAAATTCACTTGCCCGCTGGGCAATTTGCTTTCAAATTTCACTTGCCCGCAGCGATTTCTACCCGACGCGGGCAAGCGGGCGTCCGCTTAAATAAACCCCTGACATGTATATCATCTAAAATATACGAATGGTTTCAAGTTCATAGAGTGCAAAATACATTTTTTATTCAAAGTAACATGTATTATTCCTGGCGAATCATGGCAAATGTTCACGGCAAAATCGTCGCGAGTTGAATTCGCGGGAAATGTCTCAAGTTGCAGCGAATTTACTCGCGTTATAAAGCATGAGGGTTTGCCGCAAATGCGCGAATTGTGCGGGTTTCGCGTGTCCAGTACTGTAAAAAGTCATATTCGGTATCTACTTTCTGCTATGGTTATGACTTTTATTTAAATTAGAACATGCAACAAATATAACATGTAATATTTTTATTACAGTATCAAATTTAACCATTTTTGGCATGTAATTTCATTTTATTATTATAAAATATCATATGAAGAAAAAACTTTATGAACTATAAGTCATTTTCGGTATCCTCTGTCCTTCACGTTAACCCATGTACTGAATCAACCATTTCCAAATGTCGCGGATTGCCAGGTAATATGCGGTATGTCTTAATACCGGAGATGACTCATATTCTCAGATATGACTTTATAAATATGACTTATATTTTACAAAGTAATTATTTTTTTTATTATATTTTCTTGATACAAAGTTTTATAATAATAAAATGATTTTACATGCAAAATATCGTTAAATTTGGTCCATAAATAAAAAAAGTTATAAGTTATATTCGAATAACGTTCTATAAAAGTCATATCCGTAGCGGACAGAAGATACCAAATATGACTTATATTTTATAAATTGATTATTTTTTTATTAACTTTTCTTGATACAGTGTTTTATAATAAAAAATGATTTTATATTCAATATATCGTTTAATTTGGTTCATAAATAAAAAAGTATTTACATAAATAACCACAAACTAGGGAAGGGATTTTCTGTGTGTCACGCAGTTACATGTACTGCATGTGCGCGGAAATAACTTATTATAGAACATATCAAATGGAGGAGTGGAAACTGGATAAAAAATAATGTTTGTTCAATTAATGAATATTTGTAAATCATTTATATGGTCACACGTTTACAATTGATTCCAATTTTATGCTCCCCGAAAAAATTTCGGGGGAGCATATAGTCGCCGCCTCGTCCGTACGTCCGGCTGTCCGTCCGTCCGTCCGTCCCCTTTTCTTGTCCGGGACATAACTTTGAAACAACAAGAGGTATCAACATGAAACTTTGTAGGTAGATAGATCTCATTGAGTAAGTGTGCAGTGCACAAGAACCGTAACTCTGCCTTGCCTAATTTTTTAATTATGCCCCTTTGTTTATTTTACACTTTGAACTTTGTCCGGGACATAACTCTAAAACTATAATAGGTATCAACATGAAACTTTGTAGGTAGATTGATCTCATTGAGTAGGTGTGCAGTGAACAAGAACCGTAACTCTGCCTTGCCTAAGTTTTAAATTATCCCCCTTTGTTTATTTTTACACTTTGAACTTTGTCCGGGACATAACTCTAAATGTATAAGAGGTATCAACATGAAACTTTGTAGGTAGATAGATCTCATTGAGTAGGTGTGCAGTGCACAAGAACCGTAGCTCTGCCTTGCCTAATTTTTGAATTATCCCCCTTTTTTTTTTACACTTTGAACTTTGTCTGGGACATAACTCTAAAACTATAAGTGGTATCAACATGAAATTTTGTAGGTAGAAAGATCTCACTGAGTAGGTGTGCAGTGCACAAGAACCATAACCTTGCCTTGTCTAAGTTTTTAATTATCCCCCTTTGTTTATTTTCACACTTTGAACATTGTCCAGGACATAACTCTTAAACTATAAGAGGTATCAACATGAAACTTTGTAGGTAGATAGATCTTATTAAGTAGGTTTGCAGTGCACAAGAACTGTAACACTGTCTTGCCTACTTTTGGAGTTATTGCCCTTTGTTCATTTTGACACTTTGAACTTTGTCCGGGACATTACTCTTAAATTATAAGAGATATCTGAACATGAAACTTTGTAGATAGATAGGTCTCATTGGATGGAAATGCAGTGCTTAAGAATCATTACTCTGCCTTGCCTTATTTTGAAGTAATTGCCCTTTGTTTATTTTTACTTTTTGACTTTTGTCCGGGACATAACTTTAAAACTATTAGAGATATCAACATGAAACTTTGTAGGTAGCTAGATATAATTGGATAGAACTGCAATGCTTAAAGAACCTAAACAAAGCCTGGTCTAATTTTGGAGTTATTGCCCTTTTGTTCATTTTTACACTTTGAATTTTACCAGGGACATAACTCTGATATCATCAGGAAACTTTATAGATAGATAGATCTCATTGAATAGAAGTGCAGTGCAAAAAAACATAACTCCTCCTTGCCTAATTTTGGAGTTTTTGCCCTTTGTTCATTTTTTTTTATACTTTCCTGTGTCTAGAACCTTCATGGGGAGCATCACCCGGTTCAACCGGTTCTTGTTTTTAATTATCGGGTATTGAATGCCAATCACAGGTGCTTGAAGCAAACTTTTTTATGTTCTATATGGGCTATATACTAAGTATATACTTTAATCTTAATATACATATATATAATATAGGCCGATTATGTAACATATTTGATAAAGTGACAAGCGCCTGTGATGCCAAATGTTTTCAAACATTTTTTTCCAAAATGAAAATGAAAATCACACCAAATTACCTCCCTGTGTCTCTAACAAATACTGACGAATTTCTTTGTAATCTCGCACGTCTGCTAAGTGGGTGTTAAGACCCCTCAATTCAGATATTAAACAGGGAAATTGCCAAGAAAAATTGTGTCAGTGTTTCTTTGTATGAATTAAATTATGATTATAAAATGTTAAACTTTAATAATTATTCAGGTTGTAAACACTATAATTTGCTTATTAAACCACGGTATATTTTGAACAGCAAGGACGGGATTTAACCTAATCAATAACTTCGTAATTGCAGCGACAACAATAAAATTAGAATGGAAAATGCTTTAAACTTTAAAGTTATAGTCATTAGTTGTCATTTATAGTTATATGATAAAAGAAATAAACAAATTGTTCAGTTTTCATAGCTTATTTATCTTTTTTTGTTTTATCAAATGGTTTCTTTACAAAATGCATACGTTTAATTATAACTGTCGTCAGTGTCCTTATGGAACATTAAAAAAATCTTGAAAGCTGAATATTGCCTGGCAATTGATATATCGCAGTATCTCCTATAATTCTTTACCGATATATCAATACAAAAATCCTGATCGATAACATCTCTACTCTATTTTTTTCTCCCTGTAATTGATTTTTTTAGGAACACATATCATATTTACCCAGTATTTTGGACTTTGAATTGCAATTCAAGACCATAATTACTTATTTATATAAAATCTAACATAATACTTTTGTTTTGTTTGTATAGATATTGATAGAGTATCAGGATGGCACATCAACTTCATTTAGAGAAGGAAAAATACAGACAGTGGGTAAAGGCTGGTTTAGGACTTGGATATTTAAAGGATGGACTGGTACCATTCTGTAATGACATAGCTAACCAACAACATAAGGATATCTTACAAACCATTCGTTCTACAAAATCACTACCATCAACTGTGACGTGTGGCAACTGTCGAGTTGAAACTCTCAAGCCAGACCATAAGCCAGTACCTGGGAATGCTGGAAACAAAGTTTGTCCTCTTGGGCAAGTAAAATGCAGCTGTTGCTGTAAGGGCAAAATTGCTTGTCCGAACAACATATGTGGCGCCATCTATGATTTTATTGTGCAGCATCATGCATCCTCACCACCTGCACCTAACTGGAAAAACAGCGATGCTCAACAGTGGGTGACAGACCCTTGGAGCATTTGTAAGTGTTTTATAAATGCTCCAGGCTACGAGCAGAAACAATCTGTTGGGGAAACTGATTGTACTGGGTTATTACATCTAGTGATAAATAACCAGTATTTTCATAGCCACATTGGATGCAATGTCACAGGAACAAACAACCTTTTTTCAAAGGTAAACCGTTAATAAAATATATTTTACTTATCTTTTATCAGCTCTTGTAATGTAAATGCTATATTTTCAGTATCAAAGTAAAAGAAAAAATGAAAATTTAACTAAGAAGGTAAAGAAGTAATTCACCACTTTTCATGATTCACAACAAAAATCCACCAGTCATTCTTGTTGCAAAATTTTGTCGGGAGTATAATTTCTACATACATGGAGGGAATTTAATGAAACTTCATAGAAATGTTTACCATGATGAGAAACAGTATTGTGCATATGAACCAGGTTTCTAGGTCAAAGGTCAAGGTCACACTTACATTGGAAAAAATGCTTGATACTTCATACAAATGTTCATCACTGTGATATGCAGTGTCATGAGCATGAACTACATGTAGGTCTGTATGTCAAAGGTCAAGGTTACACTAAGAGCAGGGCTCTCAGTAGGGTCAGAATTTCACGAGTCAAAGACTCTTTGGCCAAAATTTTCATGAGTCAAATAATTTTTTTCTAGTGTCATTTGACTACATGAATCATTTTTCTGTTACAAAAATTACTGTATTGGAGGTCATTTTGTGTAGATTCTCAAGTCGAAATTTATAATATTTAACATTGATAAAATGCCTAGTTATAATGTATATTTCCCCCCCCCCCCCCCCAAAAAAAAAGACATCAAAAAACAACAAAAAAATGAATTGCATCTTACTGTGAAAGAATATATTAAGTAGCAGCTTTTCTCATTAAAAGTTTAAAATATAAAAAATATCTTTACTGGTATGCTATATATCATTTTAATTTTAAATACCAAAATGCACTAGGAATATTTAATAGAAATAACAAATGTATAGGCACTCCAAGTAAATCAAAGACGTATCATAAACCTTTAAATGCAATCAATAATTGACACCTCAAGTATGTAATTCTTATCAGTTGTGTACTGTGAAGAGCTATTTTTAGCGCTGTCAAATTGCATCCACTGATGTCACGCTTCAGTGCACAGGCTATAAACAATGTTGTGTATTACACACCGTGACATTTTTTTGAGTGTGATTTGAACATATGTAGGATTTGACAGGTAATTAGGAGTAGATTTAAGGGAATTATTATTGCATAGCTGAAAATCCCACGTGGCAAATTGACTCTCGTGCAGATTTTATCACGTGTCAAATTTGTGCATTTCCTGATTTTCACGAGTCAAAACCCGGATCCCTGTGTCAATTGAGAGCCCTGACTAAGAGGTCATTGAAAAACACTTATCCAGAACAAACTTCTGCATGCATAGAGGGATTTCAATGTAATTTGGCAGAAGTGTTCACCATTATGGGGGGAAGTGTCATGTGCAAAAAACTTAGGTCCCTGCCACACATAGGGGCCAAAGTTCAGGTAAAGATATGAAAATGTGTTAAAGGACCATTCATTCATCACTTATTTAGGGATTGAAACACAAATGGTCATTATCATGACTACTGGTGTGAAACATGTAATTTAGGTTAATATATGCAAGGTCAAGGTCACTAAAGATGATTTAAAATAAAGAAATTTTGTCCAAAGCACATCTCCCACACACATGGTGGGATTCTAATGAAACTTCATAGAAATGTTCACCACTATGAGAAGCAGTGTCACGTTCATAAACCAGGTACCCAGGTTAAAGTTACACTTCTAAAGGTCATTGAAAATTGCTTGTTCAGAGCCATACTTCATTCAGGGACTTTAATGTAACATGACACAAATGTCACCATTGTGAGGCTTATTAATAATCCATGTCTGCTACCAAAGTCAAGGTCATATAGTGAGGCCAATTTATTGTTGGATTTTAACACAAATGGTTACTTATAATCATGACTACAAGTGTGACACATGTAAGTTAAGAAAATATTTGCAAGGTCAAAGTCACTAAAGATGATATAATATCTAGATATTTTCTGGATATTGCTTAGAACATATCTCCTATATGCAAATCTATATCAAAAGCTTTTGTGACAGGCTATTTTGCAGCAATGTTTCCCTTGTTCCCAAATTGAAAAAAAAAATAAGACACACTTATTTCACATTTACCATAAAGCATTTTCCCAAAATATAGGAAAAAAGCTCTGGTATAATTCATGATTTCATCTCATACATAGGTTAAAGTACCTAATCAATTTTCAACAAAACAATTTTGATTTGCTAATCACTGTATATTTATGCATATAATAATGTTGAAACTGTGTTTTTTATTCAATAGGTTCGTCACTATAGAAATGCTATCTTTCACTCAAGCAGCATGGAATTAGAAGAAAGTGAGGCAAATACTTACTTAGACGATATGATAGCAGTTTTACAAGATGGTAAAGAGCTATTACACCGATCAGATGCCCAGATAGCAGTGAAGAAACTTCAAGATGTAAGTGTAAATAATGAATTGTGTCAGTTTGAAATCTTTATGGAGTTAACTTATAATGATTTAAGATAACATACCACTTAGTTCAGGACAAAGTTTAGGTAACAGAATTAGAAGTGGTAAAGTATAGCGAGGACTAGGCGAAAGACTATTCTAACTCAATATTTTTCAGAAAATGTTTTTTTTGACATTTTCTTGTATAAATTCCTTCAATGCATATTCTGTTAAAAAGACATAATTAATTTTCTAATATTTTTTAAGTTTTACACATTTTACGAAAATATTCTATCTAGTGATATAATATATTCAGTTTAAAACTATTTTAAGTCAAGTTATAATAGTTTGACAATCACGCTTTAGTTAAAAACTGGATATTCGTTTATGCAAGACAAGAAGCCCAACAAGCTGTTGGGAAACTTCAAGATGTAAGTGTACATAATACATTTTAAGTTTGAAATCTTTAAAGAGTTAAATTATCATATTTTAAAATAAGCACATTTTACTAAATTTACGGAGTTGAATACAAAAAAGTGCTCGAAGTGGTTAATTCATTTTAGTCAAATTTAAGTAACAACTGCCTTAAGTTAACTAATATTGATGAAATCAAATAAAAGTACCTACAGAATATTAAAATATGAGAAAAGAAATTACAGTATTTTAGTTTGTTATTATATGTATGGAAAACAATATCTTGAAAATAAAAAATGTCTGACTATCAGATTCCTGTTGAAAAGTGGATTTTAAAGTTCTCAAAAAATTAAGAGAATTTAAACAAAAGAAGAAGAGAGATAATTTTGTAACAAAATTACAAAATTTATTATTTTCATCAGCTGAAGAAGAAAGACTTCATTATCACAACAGAAGGGTTTGAAGAAATGTTGAGACAAATCAAAGAAGAAATGACGAAAATTCGAAAATCATCAGAGGAAAACGAGGGACTTAAAAATGAATTAACAGAACTTAAAGAACAGATGACCAAAGAAAAGGAGGAGGCTGAGAAAATACATACAGAATTAGAAAGAAAATTTACTGCTCTTGAGACAGAACTTAAAGAGGTAGAATGTGTTTCTATTGCTTTTTTCTGGTTAATATACTGGTACATGTATTAATGTTTGTTTCTGGTTAATATACTGGTACATGTATAACTGTTTGTTTCTGGTTGATATACTGGTACATGTATAACTGTTTGTTTCTGGTTAATATACTGGTACATGTATAACTGTTTGTTTCTGGTTGATATACTGGTACATGTATAACTGTTTGTTTCTGGTTAATATACTGGTACATGTATAACTGTTTGTTTCTGGTTAATATACTGGTACATGTATAACTGTTTGTTTCTGGTTAATATACTGGTACATGTATAACTGTTTGTTTCTGGTTGATATACTGGTACATGTATAACTGTTTGTTTCTGGTTAATATACTGGTACATGTATAACTGTTTGTTTCTGGTTGATATACTGGTACATGTATAACTGTTTGTTTCTGGTTAATATACTGGTACATGTATAACTGTTTCTGGTTGATATACTGGTACATGTATAACTGTTTGTTTCTGGTTGATATACTGGTACATGTATTACTGTTTGTTTCTGGTTAATATACTGGTACATGTATAACTGTTTGTTTCTGGTTAATATACTGGTACATGTATAACTGTTTGTTTCTGGTTGATATACTGGTACATGTATAACTGTTTGTTTCTGGTTGATATACCGGTACATGTATAACTGTTTGTTTCTGGTTGATATACTGGTACATGTATAACTGTTTGTTTCTGGTTGATATACTGGTACATGTATAACTGTTTGTTTCTGGTTGATATACCAGTACATGTATAACTGTTTGTTTCTGGTTGATATACTGGTACATGTGTAACTGTTTGTTTCTGGTTGATATACCTGTACATGTGTTAATGTTTGTTTCTGGTTGATATACTGGTACATGTATAACTGTTTGTTTCCGGTTGATATACTGGTACATGTATAACTGTTTGTTTCTGGTTGATATACTGGTACATGTTTTACTGCTTGTTTCTGGTTGATATACTGGTACATGTATAACTGTTTGTTTCTGGTTAATATACTGGTACATGTATAACTGTTTGTTTCTGGTTGATATACCGGTACATGTATAACTGTTTGTTTCTGGTTGATATAACAGTACATGTATAACTGTTTGTTTCTGGTTGATATACTGGTACATGTATAACTGTTTGTTTCTGGTTGATATACTGGTACATGTATAACTGTTTGTTTCTGGTTGATATACTGGTATATGTATAACTGTTTGTTTCTGGTTAATATACTGGTACATGTATTACTGTTTGTTTCTGGTTAATATACTGGTATATGTATAACTGTTTGTTTCTGGTTGTTATACTGGTACATGTATAACTGTTTGTTTCTGGTTAATATGCTGGTACATGTTTTACTGTTTGTTTCTGGTTAATATACTGGTACATGTATAACTGTTTGTTTCTGGTTAATATACTGGTACATGTATAACTGTTTGTTTCTGGTTAATATACTGGTACATGTATTACTGTTTGTTTCTGGTTGATATAACAGTACATGTATAACTGTTTGTTTCTGGTTAATATACTGGTATATGTATAACTGTTTGTTTCTGGTTGATATACTGGTACATGTATAACTGTTTGTTTCTGGTTAATATACTGGTACATGTATGACTGTTTGTTTCTGGTTAATATACTGGTACATGTATAACTGTTTGTTTCTGGTTGATATACTGGTACATGTATAACTGTTTGTTTCTGGTTAATATACTGGTACATGTATTACTGTTTGTTTCTGGTTGATATACTGGTACATGTATAACTGTTTGTTTCTGGTTAATATACCGGTACATGTATTACTGTTTGTTTCTGGTTGATATACCAGTACATGTATAACTGTTTGTTTCTGGTTGATATACCAGTACATGTATAACTGTTTGTTTCTGGTTGATATATACTGGTACATGTATGACTGTTTGTTTCTGGTTTATATACTGGTACATGTATAACTGTTTGTTTCTGGTTAATATACTGGTACATGTATAACTGTTTGTTTCTGGTTGATATACTGGTACATGTATAACTGTTTGTTTCTGGTTAATATACTGGTACATGTATTACTGTTTGTTTCTGGTTGATATACTGGTACATGTATAACTGTTTGTTTCTGGTTGATATACTGGTACATGTATAACTGTTTGTTTCTGGTTGATATACTGGTACATGTATAACTGTTTGTTTCTGGTTGATATACTGGTACATGTATAACTGTTTGTTTCTGGTTAATATACTGGTACATGTATAACTGTTTGTTTCTGGTTTATATACTAGTACAGGAATAACTGTTTGTTTCTGGTTGATATACTGGTACATGTATTACTGTTTGTTTCTGGTTGATATACTGGTACATGTATAACTGTTTGTTTCTGGTTGATATACTGGTACATGTATTACTGTTTGTTTCTGGTTGATATACTGGTACATGTATAACTGTTTGTTTCTGGTTGATATACTGGTACATGTATAACTGTTTGTTTCTGGTTAATATACTGGTACATGTATAACTGTTTGTTTCTGGTTGATATACTGGTACATGTATAACTGTTTGTTTCTGGTTGATATACTGGTACATGTATAACTGTTTGTTTCTGGTTGATATACTGGTACATGTATAACTGTTTGTTTCTGGTTAATATACTGGTACATGTATAACTGTTTGTTTCTGGTTGATATACTGGTACATGTATAACTGTTTGTTTCTGGTTGATATACTGGTACATGTATTACTGTTTGTTTCTGGTTGATATACTGGTACATGTATAACTGTTTGTTTCTGGTTGATATACTGGTACATGTTTTACTGCTTGTTTCTGGTTGATATACTGGTACATGTATAACTGTTTGTTTCTGGTTGATATACTGGTACATGTATAACTGTTTGTTTCTGGTTGATATACTGGTACATGTATAACTGTTTGTTTCTGGTTGATATACTGGTACATGTATAACTGTTTGTTTCTGGTTGATATACTGGTACATGTATAACTGTTCGTTTCTGGTTGTTCTACTGGTACATGTATAACTGTTTGTTTCTGGTTAATATACTGGTACATGTATAACTGTTTGTTTCTGGTTAATATATACTGGTACATGTATAACTGTTTGTTTCTGGTTGATATACTGGTACATGTTTTACTGCTTGTTTCTGGTTGATATACTGGTACATGTATAACTGTTTGTTTCTGTTTGATATACCAGTACATGTATAACTGTTTGTTTCTGTTTGATATACTAGTACATGTATAACTGTTTGTTTCTGGTTGATATACCAGTACATGTAATACTGTTTGTTTCTGGTTGATATACTGGTACATGAATTACTGTTTTGTTTCTGGTTGATATACCGGTACATGTATTACTGTTTGTTTCTGTTTGATATACTGGTATATGTTTTACTGTTTGTTTCTGGTTGATATATCGGTACATGTATGACTGTTTGTTTCTGGTTGTTATACTGGTACATGTTTTACTGCTTGTTATGCCACCGCAGCATCTGCGATGCGGTGGCATATAGCGATTCACCTGTGTGTGTGTTTGTTTGTGTGTGTGTGTGTGTGTGTTATATAGATTATATAGTGAACTTAAAAAATCTTCTTGTGAAAAACCACTAGTCCAATTTCAACCAAACTTGGCAGGATTGATCCTTGGGTGTAGGGCTTCAAAAGTTGTTGAAAGAATTTCATTCCATGCAGAAATCTGGTTGCCATGGCAACCAAAAGGAATTATAAGAATAAATTTAAAAAATCTTCTTGTAAAGAACCAAAAGGCCTAGAGCTTAGATATTTTGCATAAGGCATTGTCTGGTAGACCTCTACCAAGATTGTTCAAATTATAGCTCTGGGGTCAAAATCGGCCCCGCCCCCGGGGTCATTGATTTTCACTATATGTACATATAGCAAAACCTTAAAATACCTTCTTGTAAAGACCCAAAAGGCCTAGAGCTTAGATATTTTGCATAAGGCATTGTCTGGTAGACCATTACCATGATTGTTCAAATTATAGCCCTGGGGTCAAAATCGGCCCCACCCCGGGGGTCATTGATTTTCACTATATGTACATATAGTAAAAACTTAAAATACCTTCTTGTAAAGACCCAAAAGGCCTAGAGCTTAGATATTTTGCATAAGGCATTGTCTGGTAGACCTTTACCAAGATTATTCAAATTATAGCCCTGGGATCAGAATCGGCCCCGCCCCGGGGGTCATTGGTTTTCCTTATATGTATATAGGAAAAAAAACTTAAACATGACTTGTAGTAAAAACTTTAAAAAAATTTCTTCTAGTAATTGACAAATGCTAGAGGTTAGATATTTTGCATGAAACATTATGAAATGAACTTCTAGCAAGATTGTTTAAATTATAACAATGGGGTCAAAATTGCCTTTGCCCCGGGGGTCATTGATTTTCAATATAAACATATAGTAAAAAAATCAAAAAATCTTATTGTCTAAAGGTACAAGGATTAATGCGGTGGCATAGCATTTTTCTCAAATGCAATCTTGTTTCTGTTTGATATACCAGTACATGTATAACTGTTTGTTTCAGTTTGATATACTAGTACATGTATAACTGTTTGTTTCTGATTGATATACTGGTAGATGTGTTACTGTTTTTTAGCTCACCTGTCACAAAGTGACAGGGTGAGCTTTTGTGATCGCTTTTCGTCCGGTGTCCGTTCGTCGTCCGTCCGTAAACTTTTGCTTTAAATGACATCTCCTCATAAACCACTGAGCCAATTTCATCCAAACTTCACAGGAATGTTCCTTTGGTGATCACCTTTAAAAATTGTTCAAAGATTTTAATTCCATGCAGAACTCTGGTTGCCATGGCAACCGAAAAAAAATCTTTAAATATCTTCTTTTAAAGAACCGAAAGAGCTAGAGCTAAGATATTTAGCATGAAACATGTTCTAATGGGTCTCTACCAAAGTTGTTAAAATACAAGCCCTGGGGTCAAAATTGGCCCCGCCCCAGGG